CTCCACCTCCCAGGTTCAAGTGATTCTCATGCCTCAACCTCCCAAGTAGCTGGGACTACAAGCGCATGCCACCGCGCCTGGCTAATTTTCGTATTTTTAGTAGAGGTGGGGTTTCGCCATGTTGGCCAGGCTAGTCTTCAACTCCTGGCCTCAAGTGATCTGCCTGCCTTGTCCTCCCAAAGTGCTGAGACTACAGGGGTGAGCCACTGCACTGGCCTTCCTTTGATTCCCCCCCCCAACCATTTAAAACCATAAAAACCAGTCTTAGCTCATGGGTTGCACAAAAACAGGTAGTGTGTTGGATTTGGCCAACAGGCTTTTTGTAGTTAGCCAACCACTGTTCTATGCATTACATCAGGAGGAACATAGTATTAACTACCTTACTATTTGTGATGCTAAATCATTTGCTTTTAAGAAAATGACCGCCGGGCGCGGTGGCTCACGCCTGTAATCCCAGCGCTTTGGGAGGCCGAGGCGGGCGGATCACAAGGTCAGGAGATCGAGACCACGGTGAAACCCCGTCTCTACTAAAAATACAAAAAATGAGCCGGGCGTGGTGGCGGCGCCTGTAGTCCCAGCTACTCGGGAGGCTGAGGCAGGAGAATGGCGTGAACCAGGGAGGCGGAGCTTGCAGTGAGCCGAGATCGCGCCACTGCACTCCAGCCTGGGCGACAGAGCGAGACTCCGTCTCAAAAAAAAAAAAAAAAAAGAAAATGACCATCGATTTTCTTCATTTATAAGTATATATGTATCCCTTTGTAATTAGAAAGGAATCTATAGGATCATAGTTCGAGATAGTATTGAAAATCCTTTTCCCAACAACATTTCACACAGTGGTTTTCGTTTTCCTGTCTATTGATGATTCTTGGCCTAAATCAGTAATTATACCAGGAATTTGAATTTTATATTTTATTATTTTTTTCTTTTTGTCCTCACAATCTGTTCCCAAAGGATTCTGATTTTAATTAGAAAATTTTAATTGCGTCTTTCTTTCTACAATATTAGCTGGCATTCTTCTGTAAAAAGAGCCTCTCCTTTCCCTATTGTTTATTCATGAATATCATTATGCACTCATGAACCTTTTTAAATTCAATGTACTCATTATTCATTACTGTCGTTATTTGTTTTGAGCACAAAATTACCCAAATTTAGCCAGTTGGATCCTTCAGGTCAGCTTATGTGTTCTTTTGATGTGACCCCATTAGTCTTTGAGCTGTGGCATGATATGCCCAAGGCTCACTATGGTACTTTCTTTGCCCCATCCTGATGCCAACCATGTCTCTAAAAAGCCCTGGGTCCCTTTTGTAGGAAAGGATACTTAAAGACCATAATCTGTGAGTAGGCTTTAATTTATCTTCTCTGTATCTGTTCACTCTTTTTTAAAATTTAGGTTCGTAGTAACTATATTACTGGCCATTTCACCAGCTTTATGTATTTTGATCCACTCTGTTGTTTTGTTTTTGTTTTCTGTTTGATTGATGTTTTATTTTATATATTTTTTGTTTTATTGGTATCATCTTTTCTAGGCCTTGAAAATGTATTTTTTAAACTTTTTGAGGCACAATTTACATAGCATAAAATTATTTTATTCTAAGTATGCAATCCAGTGATGTTTTTCATAAGTTTACCTAGTTTGTAACTGTCACTATAATCCAATTTTAGAACATTTTTATCACCCTGTAAGATCTTTTATGCCCATTTAATCTGCATTAGCACTCCCAGCCCCAGGTAACCACTAATCTACTTTCTGTCTCTATAGATTTACCTTTCCTAGATATTTTGTATAAATGAAATTATATGATATGTGGTCTTTTGTGTATATCTTCTTTCATGAAGTGTAATGTTTTCAGGGTTCACCTGTGTTGTAGTGTATGTCAGTATTTCATTTCTTTTTACTGTTTTGTTTGTTTTAAGAGACATGGTCTCACTCTGTCACCTAGGGTGGAGTGCAATATCCGTGATCATGGCTCATTGCACCCTCAAACTCCTGGCCTCAAGTGATCCTCCCATTGTGGACTTCTGACTAGCTAGGACCACAGGCGCACACCACCACACCTGGCTAATTTAAAAAAAAAATTTTTTTTTTTTTTTGAGACGGAGTCTCGCTCTGTCACCCAGGCTGGAGTGCAGTGGCCAGATCTCAGCTCACTGCAAGCTCCGCCTCCTGGGTTTACGCCATTCTCCTGCCTCAGCCTCCCGAGTAGCTGGGACTACAGGCGCCCGCCACCTCTAGTAGAGACGGGGTTTCACCGTGTTAGCCAGGATGGTCTCGATCTCCTGACCTCGTGATCTGCCCGTCTCGGCCTCCCAAAGTGCTGGGATTACAGGCTTGAGCCACCGCGCCTGGCCAAAAAAAATTTTTTTTAAGAGACGGAGGTCTTGCTGTGAACTCCTGGCCTCAAGTGATCCTCCTGCCTTAGCCTCCCAACTAGCTGGGATTACAGGTGTGAGCTACCATATTAGGCTCATTTCTTTTTATTGTTGAGTAGTATTCCATTTTGTGGATATATGTGAGTTTTATTTAGCAGTCTCCCTGCTGGTGGATATTTGAATTTTTTCTACTGTTTGGCTACTACAAATAATGCTGCCACTAACATTCACATGCAAGTCTTTGTGTGGACATATGTTTTATTTCTTTTGTGCATATACCCAGGAGTAGAACTGCTGGCTTGTATGAGAAATTTATGTTTATATTTTTAAGAAACTGCCTGCTTTCCAAAACAGTATCATTTGACATTCCCACTATCACTGTGTGAGGGTTCCTATTTCTCTGTCTCTTGGCCAACATTTGTTGTCTGTCTTTTTTATTATATCCATTCTAATGGGTATGAAACAGTACCTCATTGAGGTTTAACTTTGCATTTTCTTAATGACTGATGATAATTGAGCATCTTTTCATGTGCTCATTAACTGTTCTAAAATCTTCTTTGGTGAAATGTCTATTCAAATCTTTTGCCCATTTTTTGAGTGTGTTGTTTGTCTTCTTAATTAAAATTCTTTGTATATTCTACTGACAAGTTCTTTTTTATTTTTTCAATAACTTTGTTATGAATGGTGACAAGTTCCTTATCGGGTATATAATTAGCAAATATTTTTTCTCAGTCTGTGACTTGTCTTTTTATTTTCTTAATGGTATCTTTTGAAGTACAAAAGTTTTAAATTTTGGTGAGGTCCAGTTTATCAGTTTTTTCTTGTACAAATTATGCTTTTGGTATTGTATCTAAGAAATCTTTACCTAATCCAAGGTCTCGAAATTTTTCTGTATGTTTTCTTCTAAAAGTATTATAATTTTTGCTCTTACATTTGGATTTCTGATCCATTCAAGGACCTATTTTTATTTTTTATTACTATTAAAAAATTTTTTTATGTCCTTTGAGTCATAGGGACTTTTTTTTTTTTTGGTGGGGGGTGCAGTGGCGCAATCTCAGCTCACTGCAACCTTCGCCTCCCATATTCAAGTGATTCTCCTGCCTCAACCTCCTGAGTAGCTGGGATTACAGATATGTGCCACCACTCCCAGCTAATTTTTGTACTTTACGAGACAGGGTCTCACTATGTTGGCCAGACTGGTCTTGAACTCCTGACCTCAAGTGATCCACCTGCCTCAGTTTCCCAAAGTGCTGGGATTACAAGTGTGAGTCATGACACCTGGCCAAGGGACTTATTGTTAAATAGGCTGTTATACTTTTAAGATGTATGTAATGGGACAGGTGTGGTGGTTCACACCTGTAATCCCAGCACTTTGGAAGACCAAGGTGGGAGGATCACTTGAGGCCAGGAGTTTGAGACTCACCTGGGCAACACAGTGAGACTTCATCTCTCCAAAAAATTTAAAAATTAAAAATTAAAAAATTAGCCAGGCATGGTGTAGTCCCAGCTACTTGGAGGCTAAGCCAGGAGGATCCCTTGAGTCTGGGAAATCAAGGCTGCAGTGGTTTATGATTGCATCACTGCACTCCAGCCTGGGCAACAGAGTGAGACCCTATCTTTAAAAAAAAAAAAAAAAAAGAAAATGTAAGTAATGACTTTCTTTTGGTTGCTCTTTTCTAGGCAGGACAGCAAGGAGATTCCAATAATAACTTAAGTCCCTTCAGCATTGCTCTTCTTCTCTCTGTAACAAGAATACAAAGATTTCAGGACCAGGTATTTTTTTTTAATGCCATTTTGTTTCCTTCTGTAGTTGGTAAAACACACACACACACACACACACACACACACACAGAAATCTGTTTTTGTTGTATCCTTTCCTAAACAATTTTACCCCCTTCCTGCCAGCAGCAAAGCTGCTATAAGACATGTATGTCCCCTCTGTTCTCTGGGGACTGATGGAAGACTTCTACAGGTTTTTGGTTTATTCTTTCATTTCCTATTGTATGGTAAGCTAGGTGATGAGGTGGGAATAAGAGTGGAAGGATATCACACAGCCCAAGTTGGAGGAAGGGACAATTTAGCTGGATATTCACCAGCAGTTTTATTATGTTGTAGCTTTCCAAGAATAGGTTAGTTGCAAGGATGAAATTTACTCTTTTTTTCTTATATGTGTTCCAGGTTGTGGGTAATATTTATATTGACTTTTAGCCTTTTTTTCCCCCTTTTTGCTTAAGGAAGGCTTGTCTTCAACTCTTTAAAGTTCCCACTGAACGTCATAATTTTTGTAACATCTTCATCTAGTTAAAATAGTTGTCATAGGGATATAGTGAATGGCAGCTCATAGGAACAGTTATAGGGTTAAGATTTATAGCATGAGCTATAATATTTGCTTTATTTTCTTATTTCATTCTATTAGGCGCTTGATCTTTTAATTATTTGTTTTTTTCATTTATTTTTATTAACTATACCCAAGGTGCTTGATCTTTTAAAGACTTCGGTTGTAAAGAGCTTTAAGGATCTTCAACTCCTCCAAGGCTCAAAATTTCTTCAGAATCTAGTTCCTCATAGGTCTTATGTTTCAACCATGATCTTGGAAGTGGTAAAGAATAGGTAAGTTGGTGAACCATATCTCAAAAGGTTTATAAGGTGTTTAATGTTAGAAAATGCAATGTGGTATCATACTTGCAGGCTATGAGGGGAAGCTGATGACTTACAGCTGTTGACTTCACACATCAAGGTTCAATTTCTTAAAACTGGTAGAGCATACTTTTTCCCTATGGAAATATCCTTGAATCTCAGGACTTGGTTTCTTGTTCACCTTGACAGCAAGCACACAAAACTGAATTAGGTGCTATTGTTTATTTCATGATACTACAATTCTCTATTTTCCTTTGCTTTCTTTCCATTTTTTTTTTGAGACAGTCTCATTCTGTCACCCAGGCTGGAGTGTAGTGCCACAATCTTGGCTTTACTGCACCCTTGACTTCCTGGGCTCAAGCAATCCTCCCACCTCAGCCTCTCAAGTACCTGAGATTACAGGCATGCTCCACCATGCCCAAGTAATTTTTGTGTGTTTTGTAGAGACAGAGTTTCGCCATGTTACCCAGGCTGGTCTTGAACTCCTGAGCTCAAGCGATCCACCTGCCTTGGCCTCCCAAAGTGCTGGGATTACAGGCTTGAGCCACCGATCTGGGCCCTTTCTTTTCTTTTTTAAAGGAAACAGAGTCTCACTATGTTCCCTAGGCTGGAGGGCAATGGCTATTCACAGGCTCTGTTATAGCACGGTAAAGTCTCGAACTCCTGGCCTCCCACCTTAGTAGCTGGGACTATAGGCATGTACCCCTGTGCCTGGCTTGGCGTTTCTTCTTCTTTTTTTTTTTTTTCCTGGAGACGTAGGAACTTTTCACTATGTTGCCCAGGCTGGACTTGATTTTGTGGGCTCAACTGATCCTCCTGCCTCAGCCTCTCAAGTAGCCAGGACAATAGGCGCATGCCACTGCATCTGGCTAATGGCCTCTTTTTAAAGTGAGTAAAAAACATTAAGAGTTTTATTTACTTTGTTGAAATTTGGAGCTTATGGTTGGAATTGAATTATTGATTAGCCAGTTTAGACAAATTCATTTAAAACCACATGGAAAACATCAGTAACTATCCTGGTTTTTATTTTAATTTCAGGATATGCATTAGCTGTTCTAACAGTCTTTACTATGTCATGCTTTCATTATGCATTAAAAAATTTTAAAGTTTCGTAATTTAAGCATAATTTATGGTAGGTCTCTTCTAGGCCCAGAATTCTTGTTTATTAATAGATTGAATTTACATGAGCTTTGCAGTAGGGCAAATTTGAAATTAGAGTTTATTGTTTGAGTGTTTTACCCATTGATAGGCCTTAAAGCTTTTAAAGCTTTTTTTTTTTGGAGACGGAGTCTCGCTCAGTCACCCAGGCTGGAGTGCAGTGGTGCGATCTCAGCTCACTGCAAGCTCCGCCTCCCAGGTTCACGCCATTCTACTGCCTCAGCCTCCCAAGTAGCTGGGACTACAGGCGCCCACTGCCACGCCTGGCTAATGTTTTGCATTTTTAGTAGAGACAGGGTTTCACCGTGTTAGCCAGGATGGTCTTGATCTTCTGATCTCGTGATCCACCCACCTTGGCCTCCCAAAGTGCTGGGATTACAGGCGTGAGCCACCACGCTCGGCCGCCTTAAAGCTTTTTAATCTTTGTATCTGATTATTCTTTTTCCTGAGGCTTATAATTGTGTCTCCAGTATTTTCCCAACCCAATCTCTTCAAATTGGGCTAAAGAAACAGGTACTCACTAACTAGGAAATTCCTGGAAAGCTGCCCGTCTTCTGAAAGTCTCCATCATAGGACTTGAAAGCATCTCCATGTATAATTAGCCTGGAGTGGGTACTTGTCACCAGGTGGGACCAAACCTCAGCTGGGAGAGATTTGGATAGCCTTATTAGATCCTGTAAAATAACTGGCTGGTTAGTTACACATGCTTGCCCCAGTCAGTTAATGAACCTTTAAATAATGCATTCTCCATTTTACGTAATTGAATTTTTGGCTCTTCAGAGTATGAATATTGTTAACTCTGTTAAAATGTTATAATTTATCCATAACTATCTACTTCATTCTGTAGTGCTGCATTATAATTTGTTGCAATTTAACAGGTAGATATAATGGATAAAGGTTATATGCACATTATTTCCACTGTGGGGTATAACATTAAGTGGTATAAAACCACCAGTGATTCTACTCCTTTACAAAAGATTATTTGTAGTTTTAGCTCATGCTGTTGACACCAGATCATTCATCCATTTATACTATAAATATCTACTGAGTGTCTTTTATATGCCACCCTTGTGTTAAGCAATGTGGGTAAAAATATGACTATACTATGACCTCTCTCTTACAGAATCTCTGTCTATGGAGAGGAGCTAATTTGTAAGCCTCTACATAAGCGTTGTCAGTGCTGTAGGGTAATAGAAGAGGCAGCAATGAACTTCTCATCATGAAATCTTGAATGGGAATCTTTAATTGTCATCATATTGAAATATTCCAGTTTCTTTTGTATGTTTTTGAATATTCTCTAGCTTCTGGATTTTCCCAGTACTCTGTCTGTCATTGGAGACCACTTGCCTGCTATTCCCATTATGGTACATTTAGGAATTCAGAATTCTGTCAGATGATGTGTGTAAAGAAAAGGTTTATATGCAGAGTACGTTGGTTATCCAGGTCAAGTTTGGGAAATGTGTAACAGGGCATTGAGTATAAAGGTAAGATATCTTACTACGTTTTTCTTTTTTAACTAAGCTTTGTTTTCTTGTAGCATTCATAGTTGGGACCATGTTACTCAGGGCCTCGTTGAACTTGGTTTCATTTTGATGGATTCATACGGGCCAAAGAAGGTTCTTGATGGAAAAACTATTGAAACCAGCCCAAGTCTTTCTAGAATGCCAAACCAGCATGCATGTAAGCTCGGAGCTAATATCCTGTTGGAAACTTTTAAGGTGAGACACTATTTTGGCAACCACTCCCTAATTTTGTTTAAATAATCCAAGTAGGGCTTGGCATTTGCCTGGGAGTTTGCTGGACAAGGAAATTTGAGTATTAGTTTGACAGAGGATATATGACAGAGATTAGGATAATATTGAAACATTATAGATCCAGTTTGATGGAATACTTAACTTTCTTATTCTTTTATGTAAGTTTTTCATTTATTCCACGTAATCCAATTGCTTCTGACCTAGAAGTTTGAATATAAGATAGCTTTTTCATGACTTTTCCTTCTTCCAGCAGTAAACCTTTCTAGTTTTTGTTTTATTTTGTTTTAATGCTGTTCCTTTACACAGAAGAAATTTTTTTAGGTCACTGTAGAGCATCAAGCTTAGAGAATTATGCTCTAAGAATTTTTACTGAAAATAAAACAAAAAAAGAATCATGCTTGGTTGGGCATGACTTAACCTATGATCCCAACACTTTGGGAGGCTGAAGTGGGCAGATCACTTGAGCTCAGGAGTTTGAGACCAGCCTGGGCAACGTGGCGAAACAATATCTCTACAAAAGATACAAAAATTAGCCAGGCATGGTGGCGTGCACCTGCTACTTGGGTGACTGAGGTGGATCACTTGAGCCCAGGAAGTCAAGGCTATGGTGAGCTGTGTTTGCACCACTGCACTCCAGCCTCGGTAACAAAGTGAGACCCTATCTCAGAAAAAAAAAAAAAAAAAAAAGTCATACTTATTGGTTCATTGTTTCTGAAGAACCCAAAATGGGAAATTTACATTTTTTTGACATTATTACCAAATTATCACTGACAATATTAATTTCCAAAACAGTTTTCAAAAATGTATTTTGTTTTGAATAAAAAAATGCTAGATCATATCTGAGGTTAAACAACTTTGCTAGTAATTCCTCTAAGTCTTCTTAATGTTCAGTTGTTTAATGTAGCTACACACGAAGAGTGTCTGCTGAAAATGTTATTTGGGAGGCTGATCTAAATGTAAATCTAGTGTTCTAATCCAGAACTATGAAGTAAATGTCAGAATAGTTCTTGGGAGTTGTAAGTGTATTTGATGATGTAATATAAATTACCCTGCTTTACAGTGATATTGTTAAAGACATTATCTTAGAGTATGTTTTTGTATTTAAATTATTATTTTTCAAAACTAAAGAGGCTCCATTTGATTTCACATAGATGTCAGCTTTATCAAGTCATCTTTATAAATTGCTGCTAAGTCACTAACAGTCTGAGGTCTGAACGAAATTAGTCTGTACCATAAAGTAATTAAGTTCAAGTAAGAATTTTAACTAAAATTTAAGTGAAAATTCAGAATGGGTCTTTTTAACAGCAACTGCTGTGCTTCTAGAAACTGAGACAGGGGTTAGGGAAGATCTTTTAAGTTTATAGAAATTTTCATGGGCTTTTACATTTTAATTTTTAGAATAAAAGTTATGTGTACTGTCAGGAATATGGATATTGTCAGGTAATGGATACCTAAGTAGAATTTGTCCTGTTTGATGCTGAACCTTATATTAGCAATAGTTTAATGTGATCTGTACTTTTAGGCTAATAAACATGGTATTTACCCTACTAATGAATCATCGAAGCACAGAACAAGGGGAAAGTTGAGTGATTCTGTCTTTCCAGGTGATTCACATTATATTCTGAGTTTTTGAGTTTTACCCATATCCAAACTGTTCTTCATCCTGCCTGACATGCATTGATATACTTAAAAGCTGAAGGTCACCCAGGAATATTTTATTTATGCTGTTGTTTTTAGATCCATGAGATGATCAGACAAGAAATTCTGGAGCAGGTCCTCAACAGGGTTGTTACCAGAGCATCTTCTCCCATCAGTCATTTCTTAGGTATTAAACTTTGAAAGCATGAATAAAGTTTTTAGAAATATTTTCATTTAAATGTCATAATCATTTGGTCCTGGGAAAAAAAATTTAATGAGCATTTAAATGCAGTATCTTTGATAGGATGCCAATAAAGCAAATCCATTTATGTTGTCTGGGATTGTCAATTGTCAAAAAGGCTGTAGTTGTCAGTAAGGAAAGCAACAATTAACCAATAAGTAAAACTTCCATTTTGCCTCAACATTTTCTGTTATTATTAATACCTCTCAAATGAATGCTGTCCTTCTGCTGCCACTCATTGACTTCCTAGTCCTTTTAGCCTTGACATTTGGACTGCACAGCATTTGTCTCTGGTAACCTCTGAGTTTGCTGGGTTTTTTTTGTTTTTTTCTTTTTTAGACACAGTTTCACTCTGTTGCCCAGGCTGGAGTGCAGTGGCACAATCTCAGCTCACTGCAACCTCTGCCTCCTGGGTTCAAGCAATTCTTGTGTCTCAGCCTCCTCAGTAGCTGGTATAGGCACACGCTACCACGCCCAGATAATTTTTGTATTATTAATAGAGGCAGGGTTTCGCCATGCTGGCCAGGCTGGTCTCGAACTCCTGACTTCAGGTGATCCACCCACCTTAGCTTCCCAAAGTGCTGGGATTATAGGCTTGAGCCACCACACCCAGCCTGAATTTGCTGTTTTTAATACATAACTCCTAATGTCTAAATTGACTGGTCTTAATCACCAATTTTAAAAATTTCTCTATGTCATTCATCACTGTTTATAACTCCCCTGAAACTTTTTTAGGTAAGTTCTCTGACTACTGTAAGAGTTTGCTTCTTTTCCTGCCTGTGACCAGTTTTTCTTTTACCTCAAATATAATACAGCTCCCTTCAAACAAATTTTCCTTTCCACTGCTCCTATTTCCATTATTTGAAGCATGGCTCTCCAGGTCCTGGAGGCTGGAATTACCTTTTATTTTCTCAAACACACTTGGTACCAAAGTTCTGTCATTTTTCTGCCTCATACTGTTATTTTTTTCTATCTTTTTATTCCCTCCTTCCCCCAACCTCACATCCACTGTCTAGTTCCCATTCTTACAACCTTGAATTTAGACTACTACCACAGCTTTCTAACTGGTTTCCTGGCTTTTTCTTCTCCCTTCAGCAATTTAACCTGCATATTACCACAGGTTAGTATTCCTAAAATACCACTTTATGACTATAAAATCATCAATATGTTCTTTAATAAATTGTCAGCTCTTTTTGTTTGTTTGTTTGTTTGAGATGGAGTCTCACTCTGTCACCCAGGCTGGAGTGCAGTGGTATGATCTCAGCTCACTGCAACCTCGGCCTCCCAGGTTCAAGCAATTCTCCTGCTTCAGCCTTGCAAGTAGCTGGGACTACAGGCACGCGCCACCACACCCAGATAATTTTTGTATTTTTAGTAGAGACGGTGTTTCACCATGTTGGCCAGGATGGTCTCAATCTCTTGACCTCATGATCCACCTGCCTCGACCTTCCAAAGTGCTGGGATTACAGGTGTGAGCCACCGCACCTGGCCAAATCGTCAGCTCTTTATCCTGGCACTGAAAGTCCTTGACAAGTGGATCCCAACCTACCTTTCCAATGTTAAAGTCAGTTATTTACTTTCCTGGATTCTTCACCCTAGCATCATTGATTTCCCTACCATCTTCTGAATATGTCTTATGCTTACCTTTCTCAGACCTTTACCCATACTTTTCCCTTTATATATGTAGGTCTTTCTAGTTCTTTGTGCATTTAAATGTTCCCCATCTTTTAGAACCTAGTTTAAGTTCCTTCTCATTGCTTTCCTAATATATGCCAACTCATAATGATCTCTTCTTCCTTTGAACTCCTATTTAAACTCTCCTTTTACCATTTAGTAGGCAATAAACTATGTTTGGAATTATTAGATATTTGATATTGCTCTGTGATTTACCTCTTTAATTCTTAAAAAAAAATTTTACTTCCAACTAAATTATTAAAATTTTTGAAAGACTATGTTTTATACTTTTATGTTCCTAATAGAACCATATTATGTTTGCACATACTAAAAATTCAGAAATATTTATTGATTTATTTTAGCTTAG